GCCTTCTAGCCAGCCGTCTCCCCAAAACTGCCGGCCTAGCACCAGCCGCCTGTAATTCCTCGGGTTTTTGCCCCCAGACACTCTTCATTTGCTTGGTCCTTTCTGCAGGGGGCTCCTGCTCCCCGCTGCCAGTTTTTGTGCCGGTGGAACGAATTTCGCCAGAGCACCCGGGCCCCTTGTTCCCTCTCGGGGAAATCCCCTGCAGAGCAGCCTCCGCGCCGCCGCCGTCTGTGCACCCAGGTCTTTTGCAAATCGTGCAGAAGAAATTAAAGGGAGGCCCGGACCCAGTCGTTGGCCGGGTGCCATTTCTGCTATAACCGCACTGTTGTTTTGCTTTTTCACCTGAAGAGCTCTGAGTGGCAGTGGGATGCTCTGAGTGGCAGCGGGGTGCTCTGAGGGGCAGGGGCATGCTCAAGCGGCACAGGGAGGGCACCCAGGTCCTGTGGGACCAGCACGGCTTCGACTTTTGCTTCCTGCTGGAACTGAGCGGTTTCTGTTATCTGCACGTGCAACGCTGAAAGCAAATTGGTCTCTCCTTTTTCCGTCGTTTGTTTAGGAAGCTATGGTCTAGAGGTCGGTGAGCTGAGAGAAATTATGTAAACAAGGTCTAGCTTGCCCGGAGGTTTCTTTTCCCACACAGAGAGAAGTGCTCCAGGTGCACAGCTGAGTGTGGTGGAGGAGATCTGCTCACTGCCTGCACGGTTGTCCGAAAGATTGAGCCAGCTCTGCCCCTTCCATGTACACCAGTGCCCTTGTGCCCCCAAAGCCTTTGTCTTAGGGGCAGAGCCATGAGTCCTGCTCTGGGAAAACTCCCAAGCATGAGCCCGGGGTGACCAACTGCCAGTGCCAGCGCTGTGCAGGGCTTCCAGGGTGGCTGCTATGTGGCTGTGGTGCTGTGAGGGTAACCGGGAAATCTCAGTCTTGGCTTGTGGGAAGAGTCCAGCTGGAAATAGAGATGTCCTCTTAGGGTTTTGGTTGATGGTTAGTTGTAATGGGAGCTCCGAGCTCTCCTAGTCCCACGCTGTGGTCTTCAAAGCCCTTTCCTCCTCCTTGCTGCTTGTGCATGAAACTCCGCTGTTGTTTTCAGCTTGGAGATCTCCCTCCTATTGGCGAGTGATACGTAGAACGCTTTCCTAGGTCGTTATTTCTGTATCATCAGTAATTATGTAGTTATACAACGCTGAGTATTTTCAGTACAGCAGTTGTTTGTGTGCGTTACTTGGAGCCAAACCGCTATACAGTTATTTTGTCTGATGGGTAACCGGAACGATGCCAGGTTGGTCCTTAAAGTGTCTGAGTCATAAACAAGCGGAGCGCTTCTATGAGGAGGCTGCTGTGAGGCAGGGCACGCTGGAGCTGTGCTTCGGCGAGGGCTTGGGCCATGCTCCTGCTCTGATGCAGGACTTCCTTGGGCTCTGGTGTTTCCCTTAAATTTTGCCTGTGCCTCCTGCAGCCTACTTGGGAATCTCTTCAGGCTGCAGTCCTTGGAGCTGCTCCTCCTGTCCTGCGCCTGGCAGTGGCCTCTGCAGGGCACGGGTGGTTTGCTGGGGAGGTGGCTCTCGAAGGCGTTACGCGTTGCGCTTGAAGGTGCTGCAGGGTGAGGACAGCAGCCTCCCGTGGTGCAGCAGCCTCGAAGGAGGCTGTAGCAGATGAGCCAGGGGCTGTTGCTCATGTTGCTTCTCCCACAACCTCTGTTTTGCGCTGTTCATGCCTGCAAATGGTCTGATTCTCGTCGAGAAGAAACCTCTGCTTGTCAGCTCAGGGCTGGTATAGCCATGCTGAGGCTATGACCTTTCTGTTTTGAGTAACACAGATGGCCTAAGCAGCAGGGTGATGAACTGGTTAAGCTAGGTGAATGCTCTTTCCACATCTTATCCCCTTTGGGACCTCTCTCCAGCAGCTTGTCTGCCGTATTAGATTTCTTCTTAAACTTTGTCCTAAATAGCATCCATATTTTAATTTTAAAAAACAAAAATCATTTCTGTTTACCCAGCTACTCTTTTTATCTTGGTTTTTTTTTCCCTTAATCTTGTCTGAGTTGCTTCATCTTGGCCTACTGTGCTTTCTTCCTAGTCGCCCATGTTTGATGGCAAAGTCCCTCACTGGCACCACTACAGCTGCTTCTGGAAGCGGGCTCGAATCGTGTCCCACGCAGACATTGACGGCTTCTCTGAGCTCCGGTGGGAAGATCAGGAGAAAATCAAGAAAGCCGTTGAAACTGGAGGCCCTGGAGGAGGTGAGCAGAGGTCTCCTGGTGTTTGGAGTTTCAGCCTCTTCTTAAGCTGTTATCGTGGTGGTTTGATTGCCATGTGCCTTCAGCAAGTGATGTTGGAAGGATTGTTGTGGCGTCTCCGCACTCCAGGACTAGGACTCTGGCAGTGTGATCCACCATGTTAAGTCGATGAGGAAAAAAGCTAGGTCAGCTGGCAGATGTATTGCCATGTATTTGTTGTTGTTGTGATTGGTGTATTTTGTTTTGAGTTCTTTAATATTAACGAATGCTGTTATAGTATGATGTTTTAATGGTAGCTTCACTGCAGTGTGTGGTTGTTGGTGGCTCTTTGTTACACCGTGAACTAGTGAGTCAGGGGAGCAAGTGAGAAGGGTCAAAGTGCAGACCAAAGTAAACTCACTGCATCTCTGTGTAAGGCAAGGATGCTGGGCAGTTCTGTATTGATGTCTGCCTTTGAAATGTAGTAATAAAAAAAAATAAAAGGAAACTGGCAGTTGGGAAGAGGAACTCTGCTTTGAAGCAGAGCTGTTTGTGACTGCAGTTACGGTCCGTTCTTCAGTAAGATCTCATTTTACGCTACTTTCAGGAAAGAAGTAAAAAGGGTCAGCTCTGTGCACCTTTGAAAGTCTTTTAAAAATCATTAAATAAGCAATCCTGTACAATTGCTACTTGACTGTTTAAAGAACTCTTTGTATTTTGAAAGTGCTTTTGAGCATGGACTGCTTATCTTGCTCTGTATTCAATTTCTTGACAGCTGAGTTGCTGGAACGCAGAAGTTTATTAATCCATACTGCTAACAGTCTGTGACAGAATAAGAAAATGAGAGAATGCCTTTTAAAGCTTATATCTGTATTTGCTTTGTTCTCCAGGAAAAGGAGGGGAACAGGAAGGAGGTGGCAAGGCTGAGAAGAGCCTGAACGACTTTGCTGCAGAATATGCCAAGTCTAACAGAAGTACTTGCAAAGGCTGTGAACAGAAAATAGAAAAGGTAAAAAGCTTTTCTTAGTTCTCCATGTCTTGTTGTTTGTCTCACCAGTTCCAGTTCAAACAGTGACTTTTATAATTGCTTCCTGCCTGTCCTGCCTGTGGAAAGCACTTGCACAGCTGCATTTCTGTGTCTGAGAAGCAGCTGTGTCCTGGACAGCTGACATTAAAGGCATCCCTCAGACGTTATAGTCTGGGCTTCAAGCCTACTGGTGCTTCCTTTCACTTGGGTCTTAGAGCAGGCAGGAAGGCTGCTCGCCAGCATTTCTGTGGCAAGAGAGCCACCACTAACTGCAGCTCTTCCCGCTTGTTGCAGCACTGCAAAG